GGATCCCTGTTGCAGTTTAAAAATTTCTAGCAGGAATTCACCATGGGGTTGGAAAAAATTCTTCTGGAAATATACAAGCATTACCCTCTGCCCAAAGGTTTAATAAATGGGTCAGGTTCCTTCCATAAACCCAGATTCCGGGATCCTTCCATTTAACTAGACCATTTTATTTTGTTTATTCTGACACCAATGTAGCTCCATAGATGTCGTTCCATCAACATCACAAGTGAAAACAATTTAAAGTAATTAAGGCTTGGTGCAGCCTACCTGTAGGTGATTTCTCCATCATTCCTCCTTTTTGTTTTTCAAGTTGGGATTTTAGCCACTGATGCTGTCATTCAATAATGGCCTGTCCTTGGGAATTATATGGTCTTCCTGTAATGTGCTGAATTTTCCACCTTTTACAAAATTCCTGGAATTGACAGCTTGTATAAGCAGGCCCATTTTCAGTTTTAATAATTTTTGGAATTCCCATGATGGCAAAAGCAGCTAGGCAATGATCAATAACCTGTTTTGCCGTTTCTCCTATTGATGCAGTAGCCCATAGGACTTTTGAAAAGGTATCTACAGAGACATTCAATGCCCCAAAACGTTTAAACAAAACATTAAGTAATCTCATTGTGGGAGAGCTTATAGCTCTGCCCTCTCCTGCCACCTTTGAATCTCTCCGCACCAGAGGGCGGATTCAACAGCAGGGTTTCATTTCTTATTACAGATTTTAGATTCCAAATACAAATTAAGATTTTAATTTGGACAAGAAACCACATTAAGATGACCATGGCACTCTTTTTTCAGCCTGATTTAAAAGAGTACCTTTTAATATTCCAATTTCTTTATAATTTGGCCTTTTTGCACAGGTGATTCTATTAATGGAGAATTAAACATTTCAGGATTAGGACATGGAGGTGGAGGGAGCCATGAAGGCCATTCCTCCTATTTTTTTTTCTTTTCTTTCTGCTCCCCTTAAGGAGCGGAGGGTGCAAGGGGAGGAGATTTATCCTCCTTGGCCTCTCTTAAAGGCTCTAGCAAATGAAATACCGTGTTTCACAAGAAAAAACAATTTTTGGAGGCAAGTTTTTTCCCTGCTGCTGACCTTTTTTTCAAGTTCTGACTAACTTTTTGGCAAACATTCAAGATCTAATGTACCTTCTTCAAGAAACCAAGGGTTATGTTCTATAATATCAAGCAAAAATTATGAGATTACCTTCTGAAACTTTAACTCCTTAAGCATGCAAATCAAAAGTCTATAATAAAGTTTCTTACTTTTTAAAAGTCGAATCTTGCCCCATTAGCCTGGCTAAAGAAAACTTTCCCACCCCGCTTACAGATACGGACTTCTGTAGCTGATCGTGGGCTTTTGTGTGTGGTGAAATATCTCCCCACCTTTACGGTGCCTACCTTTACAGTGAATTAATTTTTTCCTACCTTTACGGTGAATTCTTTGTTCCTCACCTTGCTGGTGAAACTTCGTTTTTTTTTCGCTCTAGCGAAACCTTCACTTCCAGAGTCCCCGTGGGGCGCCAGATGTCCTAAATGTTTCCCTCCACGTCCCGCGTGGTTCAGGGTTCAGGATCTGGAAGAGGAGCCGCACAAATGAAAGAGAAGAGACAAGAGATAATTTGGGAATATTGGGAGGCCAGGCAGGTAAGTCCAACTCAAGAGGAAGGACTTCCACTTGTGCTCAGGCTGCACCGACCTTTTATAGTCAGAGGTAAACAAGGCAGTGGTTACCATAGTTACACAGTTCTTGTGAGTTTCACCTGTTTTGACCATAGTTACACTCCCTGCACTTCCCTCAGCCCATTAGCTTCCCAGATAAGATCTGGGGAGTGTTATAAGGTCAAGCCTAATTATGCTAAGTGGACTGAGCCCTCTAAGCTGGAACTTGTTTGTGACTTTGCCAGCAGGTCAATCCGAGGCTCAACCCTATATCGATTCCCCACAGTTTGGCTCAGTGGATAGAGCATCGGCCTGAAGACTGAAGAGTCCCTGGTTTGATTCTGGTCAAGGGCACATACCTTGGTTGCAGGCTCCTACTCAGCCCCAGACATAGTCAGGGCTCGTACAGGAGGCAATCGTCAATGTGTTTCTCCCACATCAATATTTCTCTCTGTCTTTCCCTCTCTCTTCCACTCTCTCTAAAAATCAATGGAAAAAATCCACCGGTGAGGATTTAAAAAAATTTAAAAATTTAAAAAGTAAATTCAGTACTAAAACAAACAAAAAACCAATAAAGAATCCACATCTATCAAATAACTGCCTAATATATAGCTGGCACTGTGCTGGGCATTGGCAGTGGGTTTATAGTAGGAACAAATAGAACAGCTCTTGCCCTCATAGAGTTTTGTGGGGTTGAAAATTACCTGAAAAGTCTGTAATTACAAACTATGGTCAGAGGCCTGAAAGATGAGGCGGCACAGGGAGGTGGAAAATGAAGATGGGACAGGAGACGTGAGGGTTCAAGGAGCAGAGAGAAGGTTGTGTGCTTGGAATGCAGTGAAAATGGGCACTGTGCCAGGGGACAAGCTGGAGAGGGAGCAGAGGCCCCATCACAAGGCCCCATGGAGGCCATTTAACGACTTTCCATTTTTTGCTGAATGCAAAGCTAGGCTATTGGCTGTTAGGCAATAGAGAGACATGATCTTAGTGGTTGCTGTGTGGATTATGATTGAAGGGGTGGAGAAGAGAAAGTGGAGAGTCCGGTTAGCAAGGTTGTGCAGGAGCCTGGTGGAAGCTTTTACTGGGGTGAAGATGTCAGACGGGAAAAGTGGGCCGATACCAGTGATACGTTTTAGAAGTAGAATTGGCAGGTCCTCATGATGGAATTAGAGGTTTTCGAGCCAGGCTGGCCCTGAGCACCTGCTCATTTCTCTTATAATAGCTTGATGGTAGCCGTGGAACACAATATGGTGCTTTTTCCTAAAATTTTATGCTTCTGAGAAGATTCTTTCTCATGGCAGTTGTACAGCAAGGAGTTGCCTGTGACTCTCAGGGATGATCTGTTGTGTTGAGAGGAGGTGGGGGAGGAACGATCCTTTGTGTGTGGAGTGGGCCCTTCTTATTAGAAGTGGGGAGGCAAGTTTGTTATATAGTCCATTTCATCAGTGGCCTTAAGGGAAAGTGGAAGGGGTAGGGGCCAGCTAGCGTTGGATCTTAGAATAACAGTGGTGTTTTTCCTTCAAGGTTGATCAAGGATTTTGAAGAAATAACACCAATTGGCTCCGGTGCATATGGCAGTGTTTTCAAAGCAAAACACAGACTTGATGGGACGACTTACGTTATTAAACGTGTTCAATACAATGATGAGGACGACGACAAAGACGAGTAAGTAGTAAATGTTTTGTTTCATTATTTTAAATAAGAAGATATGTTGAATTGTACTATTCTTTTTTATGTATCTGTCTTCTTCATGAGTGTATTATTTACTTTTTCCCAGTCCTCCTTAAAAATGTTACTCTAGGCTGGCTGGCATGGCTCAGTTACTAGTCCACCTATGAACCAGAAGGTCACGGTTCAATTTCCGGTCAGGGCACATGCCCAGGTTGCGGCTAGATCCCCGATAGGGGGTGTGCAAAGGCAGCCAGTCATTGATATTTCTATCTCTCTTTCCCTCTCCTTTCCTCTCTGAGATCAATAAAAAAATATATATTTTTTAAAATGTTAGTCTATCATCAGGAGCTTGGCTTACTCACAGCACTAGCTGTTAGACCACTGGGGTCAGACCTGACCTGGGTTCAGCAACCTCGGTACTTGAGTTCTGGCTAAGAAAGAATTCAGAGCCAAGACTCCAACTGAGAGAAAATCACAGAGTTGGAAGAAGTAATTCATAGAAGAAATGGGATTAGGAAACAAGTGATAGAGTCAAAGGAAGGGTCCTTGAAGTTTGGGAATTAGGAAGGTAATGGTAACACCCTGGGGGGATGGGGATGGAGATGGGGAGGGAGAAGGGAAAGATGCAGGCCTGCTCCTGGGAGGGAGAGCTCACGGAGTCCTCAGTCCTAAAGGTTATAAGGGTGGAGATTTTAGGGAAGGTCCCAGGGGAAGATCTTAATAGAATATTCAGCAGCTTTCTAGGTGTGTCCTTTCAAGGTCAAGGTCTCCACTTATTGATTGGTCAGTGCCAGTGCAACTGAACCTGAGGTCAGCCATGAGATCACTTAATTGGTTTTGTTGCTTTCTGGGCCTGGAGCTGAAATAAAACTGAGGCCTAGATGTTATCTCTAGGGAGGAAAGGTTAGGGGTTCCAAACTGCATGACCAGCAATATGCTAGGGCAGCGGT